TATTGATAATGTGTTGGACAGGTTTAAGTTGGGAGCTGTAGGTGATGACAAGTGGTGTTCTATTGTTGGTTTTCAACCCGGGGACTGCCTGTAGATGGTTTCTAGGTATTCGTTTGGCTCTTTCAATTTGCTTTTTTATTTCTCCGGATGGGTAGTTGAGGTTTATAAATGCTTGGTAGAGACCCTGAAGTTTCTGGTCTTTGTCAGTGGGATTAGAGCAGTTGCAGTTGTATCGAAGGGCTTGGCTATAGATGATGGATCGTATGGTGTGTGCTGGATGGGAGCTGGAAGCATGTAGGTAACTGTTTGAGTCAGTGGGTTTTCTGTAGAGGGTGGTGTCTAATTTCCCATTGTTGATTTGTACTGTGGTGTCCAGAGTTCAGAGGATTCTCTTTCAAGTGCAGATTTGAATGTCTTCTAAAGTAGGATGCAGGTGAGTAGGTGATTGAGACAGTGTCCTTTCTGGTTGAAATGGCAAGCAACTGTTTTTTTCTTTGTGATCCTGTCTAATGTCTGTTTTGTGGGCATTGATTCTTTGGCGAAGTGTCTGAGACGTTTGTCCAGTGTACATAGCAGACGGACACTTTCGGCACATCAATCTGTATTTTGTGTATATACTAATGGTGTGGATCTCTCCACCCCTCATCTATTTGTTACCATCACCCATTGAGTAGCCAGGCTGATGCTCAAGATAAAAGAATTTGCATTGTCGTTTGTGAGAATTCAGTTGAATAAACTGCCTAGAATAGTAAATGTCCACATCTTGTGTTTTATAGATGCCAGGGGGGAAAAAGGACCGTGGCAGCAGCACAAGATCAAATTACCAATGGTGAAAGATGGGAAATAGTGGAGATCAGGCAAATTATGTAGAATACTTAAAGTAAAATAAATCAGAGTGAGTGAGTCATTTAATGCTAAATTAATGCAGCAGAAACTTCACATGCAGATTCTTACCTTTTATGATTGGTGTTCTAAGTAGTAAACAGATTATGATTTCTACACACTAATATCTAGTTCAGAGTACAACTCCATACCTTGTTAATTTACATCAAAAACTATTTTGGAGTGCGAACTCCCTATTCTCAGCAATATTCCTTTAAGGAATGACACATTTTCCAGTTTGCAGGTGACTGTGCAAGGCGCAAAATTACTTTCCCTTTACCTCTTTTCATTGCCAGCTCAGATATGAGTTGCACCCTTGGTACTATATCTGTTGGTTATATGATTTAATAATAGACTAAACCCAAATTTACATGTCCTATGGCAGTTTGGTAAACTGTTTATTCTGCAATATCTTTTTCTAAACTGTAACTTGCTAGAAGCTGATATTTGTGATTTGAAGGTTTAGAGAAATATTGCTGAAGAGGAGACTTAATACATTCTGCATCTGACCTTTTCATATGCTGAAATGGCTGTTTCCAAAAGACATGCATCTTCATGGCCCCTTTACTCACAAATACAGTTCTGCTTCTGCCCCAGTATATCTGTGCTAGATTTAAACGGAGGGATGGTCTTGTGGCTAAGGATGGGGCACAGAGTTGAAAAGCAGAGGTTCTGTCTGCAGCTGCCTCTGACTTCATGGCATTTTGGGGAAGATCTCTTAACCTCTCTGCATCTCATGATCTCTGTTGGAAAATGGGGATAAAGATACTTCCCTAACTCACAGAATTATGATAATTAACTGAAAGACTTATAATTAGTAATGACCCTTGAGAACCTCACAATGGAAACCATCTTACCAGTACAAGGTGTTGTTCTTTACAGACACTTGATATAATGTAGCACTTTATCATCTGCAAAACATAGACTTAAGGCAAGAATCAGGTTAAGTTGACACTGTAATGTAATTCTAGTTCTGACTCCCCTGATTTTTGTGTGATTGAAATGTCTTTAAATTACTAGAATTAGAAATATAAGGCAGGACTCAAAAAAGACAAACCTTTGGGGATAATTAAGATTTATTAAGCATGTTATTGGAGAATTATTATTAATCATGAACTTAGAGATGGAAAATGCTTAAGTGATCTGGTCCATCTCTCTCAGCTTATGCAGGATTGTTCCCTTCAATATATATTTCAAGTGATTTTTTTTAAATCCAGATATGACTGAGCAGCTGCCATGTCACGTGGTGCACTGCTTCACAGTCTAACAAATTTCATTGGCCAAAAGATTTTCATGCTGTTCATCCATACTAATCTATTTGCTAGTTTCATCCTAATACTTCTATGTGTATGCAATTTGTATCCTTCTAAACAATTTCTTTCTTGCTTTTTTCATGTTTGCATGTCCATCTTTCATCAGTAAGAAGGTGAAGGACATATAGCACAGAGATACATTTTAATTTACCATTTGTATAACCCAGTTATAGTCCTAGGCTTCACAACATCCTCTGGCAAGGAGTTCCAGAGGTTGACTGTGGACTGAGTGAAGAACAACTTCCTTTTGTTTGTTTTCAACCTGCTGCCTATTAGGGCTTGTGAATATTCTGCCTTCTCATCCTGGCAGTGAAAGTCTCTGGCATTACCTAATTTACTAAATCCATTTAATACTATCACTGGAATTGGAAAATGATGTATTTTTGAGGTGTATCTTGCAAATTAGAGAGTGCTAGAGAACATCACAGAAGGAAAGGCTGTGAAAAAAGTGAGTTAAGCTATTTCTTTTGTTGATTTGTTCTCTGTTGCCTAGATGGTTCTGGGGGCACTGCACGTATATTACTAGACTTCTCTCAGTTTTCACTTCAGTTTTGTGCTTTTAAACCACTCTCCTTCCATTCTTTCCATGCTTTAGCCTCTCTCTTGCTAATCATACATCTTTGTCATAGACCTTTTTTTGGATATTGCATATGCATAAAATAAGTTTGAGATTCCTGGCTAGAGTGAATTCCGTAGTCTGCATGGCAAATTCACTTTCCCTTTGCCTCAAAGAAAATGATTTGGCTTACTTAGTGTTTTCTGGTATTGTGGAGTATATTTCTGATATTAATTCGAGAAGGCCATATTCTATCACTTTATCTTTTCATGGATCTTGCTCTGATATCTATGAAAGTTTCTGTGTAGAACGTGGCCCATCTTTTTGGTAAGGCTTTCTCCATTTCTAAAAGTTCTCAGTCCACATGTTATGGGGTTGGGATATTATGCTAACTTCTGACATACTTGCCTTAGGTTATCCCATTTCAGTATGTAACAGGGAAATAAAACATAATTTTGGTACCTTGGGTATGTTTTTTGTGACAGCAACATTCTCTCTTTCAAGGGGATAACCCCAGGGTCCTAGCTAGGGATGTTAAATTTATATTAATTAATTGAATATTCAATGGGATTTCCATCGACTGTTTGATTAGTCTATAAGGATGCTTCCATCTTTTAACTGTAGCAAGAGCCCTGTCGGGGCAGGGAGTACAGGGCTTCCTTTTGAAATGTACAAGAGCCCCACTGGAACTGTTGTACATTTTACAGGCTGAGGCGTCACCGGGATTGCGGGGCCAGTGGGGGAACCTGGCAGGGCTCTTGTATATTTCAAAAGTAGAAGCCTCAGTGGGGCTCTTGTACATTTCAAAAGCAGGATCGCAGCACACGTGGCTCGAGCAGAGACTGCTTCAGTCCCCACTCGCGCCATTTGCCACTGTGCCTCTACCTCCACTGCCCCCTATGGAGACAGTGCTGGGAGGAACCAGCTTTTAAGCCAGCTCTGCCCAGCAGTGGCTCCTGCTCCCCCACTTGCTGCCTCTCTGTGATAGAGGCAGCAAGGGGCATCAATAGCCGACTATTGGATAAGGTTCTGCTTATTGGATAGTCGACTGGCCGTTTACATCCCTAGTCCTGGCCAACGCTGCCTTTCTCAATGAGACAAATTTGTATTTGTCCAGGGCTGTGTGATGTTTGTACATTACTTATGTGACGCTTTTTGCTTAGGATGAAATGCACCAGTATGTGAAACACCCACCTCCACCCCCAAAAAAAACTTTCACCTCCCTGAGCTACGAGGTACAGGGTGTGAAGTGGTCTTGCAAATTGGGATCCTCTCTGCCACAGTTTTAATTAGGGTTTTGTGGAATACCTTTGAGTTTGGCCCAGCAGAGGGACTATTCAATCTGAGCGTTTGATGACAGAAGCTCAACATTAGTTTGGGAGGCAAACGCATGGGATGCACAAAAGAGGGACACCATCGTTCCAGCCTTTGGGCTGCAAATAATGGATTAGAGGAACTGTGCTGCATTTCCTTTGCCTGTGCACAGGCCGAAGAGTTGTTTCGCCCTTCCCGATACCTTGAGAGTTCTTTACACAGCTCCCCTCTCTGCTTTGTCCAAGAAGGGTTTTATTCATTGGAAGTTTTTAAGACCACAAGGGATCATTATTATCACCTAGTCTGACCTGCATAACACAGGCTGCAACTTGTGGTTGAACAGAGTATTTCTTTTAGAAAGTCATCCATTTTTTACTTAAAAACATCAGGCAATGGAAAATCCATCATTTTACCCTGTCATGGTATCCATTCGAGTAGATTTGTCAGTAAGCTTTGTATATTATTGTAGTTTTTGGTAGACAGGCCTTAAGGCTCTTGTGTGGGTACATTTCTAAATAGGAAAATAACAACAGCCCTGATTGCCCGCATAGTCACCATCTTGTGAGTGTCTAACTTATTCCTATCAGATATTTGGGATATGAAAGGCTGTATCCTTAAATTCAGACTTTATCCTTTGTCTTTCCTTTGTGTGTGTGTGTGTGTATGTGTTTTTTTTTCTCCTGGCAGTTTTAAGAACTTTGACTTGGAGGACTCTCAGAAATGTGCAGTAGACTGGCTGATGATTGGTCCCTCTTCCAAGAGGGAGGAGTATAGAGTATGTGGATCCTCCATACCACCATCCTTTATCTCTGCACGGGATCATGTCTGGATATTTTTCCACTCTGATGCATTGAGTTCGGGACAGGCTCAGGGATTTCGCCTTTCTTACATCAGAGGTAAGCTCTATAGTTTCAATGGATTTTGTTAGACTAAGCAGAAATATTTTACAATCCTAACTACCTGTGACAAAAGTGGCTTCTGTTGACCAAAACCCCCTGTAAATGCCGATGAGTCATTAGAAATTTGAATACTTTCACCATTTGGCTTGTATACTTTCACCATTTGCCAGAATTGTTCTGGCAGAAGAGCTGGACCAACAGATTCAATGTTAACACCTTGGGATAACATATTAGAACTAACCTATGGCATTAGATGTTTCATTATTATTATTATTATTATTTTCTTCACAGGAAAAGCAGGCCAGACTATTTGCCAGTCGGATGAATTCCATTGTGTAAATGGCAAGTGCATTCCCAACACTTGGAAGTGTAATTCCATGGATGAGTGTGGGGATAACTCGGATGAAGGAAACTGTACCATTCCTCCAACAGAGCCTCAATCTAGCATCTGTCCCTCAGGAACATTCCAATGTAGCATAGCCCATTCCACCAAGTGCTTGGTAAACGAGTTGAGATGTAATTCTGTTAAAGACTGTAGCGATGGTTCAGATGAAGATAACTGTCCGGATCTTTCATGTGGCAAAAGACTGGGTAATTTTTATGGGTCTTTCGCTTCCCCAGACTTATTCCGTGCAGATCATAGCCAGGCAGACCTTCGCTGCACTTGGTATGTGGATACACAAGATAATCGGCATGTCCTCTTGCAGCTTGATTTACAGCTAGGGTACAATGACTACGTAAAAGTGTATGATGGAATTGGCGAAAGAGGTGAAAAATTAATGCAGACTCTTTCATATCACAACAACAGGCACTCGGTGAGTGTGGAGTCCTCAAAGGGTCAGCTCACCATTTCATATCACGCCAGATCAAAGAGTACTGGCCATGGGTTCAATGCAACCTATCAGGTGAAAGGCTATTGCCTTCCATGGGAGCACCCTTGTGGCAGTGATGAAGAGTGTTTCACAGATAAGCAGCATTGTGATGGTTGGTGGCACTGCCCAAATGGTAAAGATGAAGAGAACTGTCCAGCTTGCCAGAAAAATGAATACCCGTGCGAAGGAAACAGTGGACTGTGTTATTCAATACTTGACCGATGTAATAACCAAAAGAACTGCCCGGATGGCTCAGATGAAAAGAACTGCTTTACATGCCAGCCGGGAAACTTTCACTGTGGCACAAATCTGTGCATCTTTGAGACCTGGCGTTGTGATGGCCAAGAAGACTGCCAAGATGGAAGTGATGAACATAACTGTCTGGTTATAGTACCCAGAAAAGTCATCACAGCTGCTCTGATTGGGAGTCTTGTGTGTGGCTTGCTCTTGGTGATAGCACTGGGTTGTGCATTTAAACTCTACTCACTAAGGACCAGAGAATACAGGTGAAAATCTTCTATGTTCATAATGTCCTAACTTTAGTAGGCAAGCCTTTCTTTCAATCCCTTTAGGAGAGAGAATAAAATATCCATTCAAGTGAATTTTAAAACACACAATAAAATTAATCCAGAGTCCAGTGAAATTGATGTGATTTAAAAATGGCCACTATGCTGTTTTTCTTAGCATTAAAAGTTAATGGTCTACATTTTGATAAGTGGCTTTTGTACTCTCTCATCTATATTTACAGAGGAATATGCTGTTATCCTGTTACTGTACTGTTAGTTCTCTTGCATATCTCAGCATCCTAGTGGAGAGAAGGATTTCAGTGAATTACAGTGGGTTACTTTTACCTCTATTGTTATAAAAACATCTGTTATAATGTAGTGCTGCCTGGTGACATTAAACTTGAGGGATCTGGGAGAGAGGACTGTTTTTAGAAAGTTCTGTGTTATTTTTATGGGGCTTTCCCCATTTTACTCTGGTTCTCTTGGTTTCAGAGCATTTGAAACCCAGATGACTCGTCTTGAGGCAGAGTTTGTACGACGTGAGGCTCCACCTTCCTATGGGCAGCTTATTGCACAAGGACTTATCCCTCCAGTTGAAGACTTCCCTGTTTACAATGCATCACAAGTAAATGGTTTCATTCTACATTCAAACTATCAAAGATTGGATAGACTGAATGAATCTGAAGCAACAGTAACAATTAAATCATTTTAATTGAAAGGCTCTTGTAACAACTGTGTACTGGAGAATTGCAGTTATGCTGTTTTATCTGGCTAAGTTTACTAGTTAGATGGGAACTCATGAATATTTTGAAAGTCAAACGGATAAAATGCTTTACATCAAAATAGCAATGAATAGGCAAATATCTTACTAAAACAGAAAGGAGATCAGCATTTCAGACTGAAAGAGGAAAGGGTTTTTCTTTGTAGAAAATACAATAAGGAGTGTGGTCATTTGTCTTCCGAAAAATGTGAGTTATTTTATTAAAAAATGCAAAATTTATTTTAAAGAAAGGCCTGTTGTATTTTTGTACTCTCCCATACCTACCTTCCTCTTTCTCAAATTCCTATTATAATAACTTTGTGGCCTGACACAGCAATTGTAATTATGTAAGCAAGAGGGGAGGTTTGAGACATCAACTGTTATCAAGTCCGCCTGGCATTGCTTGTGAGACAGGATTCAGTGACCCAACAGTGTGGTCCAGTATGTCAAATCCTGCATCTAACATCTCAGTTGACCGCTGTGGAGGTTAAATAAAAGGGGGTATGCCTATTCCGAACTACCGGTACACCTCATTTCACGAGGAGTAACGGTAGTTCGGAATAGGAACCTAGTCCGAACTACCTAGTTTGAGCCCCGTGTAGCCGCGCTGCACGGGGTTCGAAGCAGCGGGGATTTAAAAATGGCGGCTCCCCGCTTATGCTAATGAAGCCCGGGAAATTCAAATCCCGGGCTTCATTAGCAAGTGCGGTATGCATACATTACCATGAGGGTATGTCTACACTACCCTCCTAGTTCGAACTAGGAGGGTAGTGTAGACATACCCAGGGAGTGATACAGACTGAGCTGTCTTTGGCTTGATTTTTAAGCAGGAGTTTAAATATAAAATGTAGCCTTTCCATCTGAGTAAGCTTTCTTAAGAGTCAGATGGACAATTTAGCAGGCAGGATAACCATAGGTATTTGATAGTGTTCTCCCATGGACATGTCAAGAAATGTCAAATTATTGATTCTGTTTTGCAGGCATCTGTGCTGCAGAACATCCGAACAGCAATGAGGAGACAGATGAGACGTCATTCATCGAGACGGAATTCATCTCGGAGGCGCTTGGGCAGGCTCTGGAATAGACTGTTCCACAGGCCACGAGTGAGAGGGCAGATTCCACTCTTAACACCTGCGCACACTTCTCAAACCACACTGGGTGATGGAATTATCAATCACACAGAAGGGAACATCCATAATCCCTCACCTTCCCCAGAAGGACCTAATTCAGAGGCAGAGACCTACGGCCAGGCTAGAGGGTTACAAGAAGCTGGAAGTAGCAGTTTGCAGCCAGAGACAGAAGACACAGAGCCATCCCACTCTAATGTTTTATCTAATAGTTGCACGGCTGCACATGCAGAGCCTGAGACAGGCCACAGTGACAAATCTTCAGGTGCTGAGGAATCCTCTAGCACTGAGCTTAAACAAACCAAGAAAGTGGATTCAGGAAAGGCTTTCAGAGACCCTTTGTCCGAAAGTGTTACAGAAACACTTTGTGGAGGCTCGGTATCCAGAAGGACTGTTGCAGAGAACAGTAATTTAAGTAGGAGTCATCCCCTGAGTGAAGACCCATGTAGATTACCCTTAAAAAAGTGGGAGTCCACTTACTCAGACAGCTGTATGAATGTTTGTATTCAGGTGGATGGACAGCAGCGATGTTGCCCTCATTCCTATCAGGAAGAGCCTTTGGGTATTCATGCGGCTTGTTGCCATTCTGTGGAAGTGCCAATGCTAGAGTCCTCTACTCCCCTCTCAGAAATCAATACCAGTGATGATGAATCATTGCTAGTTTGCTAATGACATTTTGTTTCGGCCTGGTAGGTTTTGTAACTTTTAAAATGTACATCGCAGTACACACTGATTATAACCGAAACACCTGCGCTCTCAGTGTTGTCTGTTAGAAGCAAAGTGCATTTACCCCATAGGGAGTAGAATACCTATGTCAAGACTAGGAGACAAATTTTGTCATTGTTAATATGCCCGGAACTCCAGTGGGGTAAGATTGGGCCAATGTATGTGTTCAGGGGCCAAGAGTGAATGAAAATCTGTTGTCACAATTTGGGAGTATTTCCCTCTTCTTTTGTTTGTTCGGTGCATTTGTTCACTTTCGCTTTGCAATCAGGGAATTTGAGTTTATTTAAAGTCTGTTACTATTGACATTAATGTGTTAGAGAGAAATCAGCAGTCTACGTAAACATCAGTCACAGGAAATTACAACTGTCAAGTGTTCAGCTAGAAGTATCAAATTGTTGTCTTTTTTTAGATTTTTTTGGTTTTAATTAAGAAATGTTTACAGAGCCCCAAAATATATTTAGGAGAAAATTGGATCCTTATAGCTTTTCTTCCTCTTTTCTGAAAATTACCGCCTTTTTCTCCACTCCCTTCAGAAATGTATTGTTGGCCATAAATAGGTAGAGGCATCCATTGCAACCAAAGTTTCTGTATTCTGCATACAGAAAAGAATCAGGTTTCTTATCTGCTATAACTTTGTAATAATAAATTAGCCATGTTAACCATCACTGGAGTGCATTGAGCTCCATTTCCAGAAACATATTTATATTATTGTATGTTGTATCATATTCACAATGGTTTTTGTTAAATTTGAATTGATTTTCTTCTTTATCTTTTATGACCTAAGTGCCATTTTAGGGCATGGTCTAAAGAGGAAGTGAGTGCTTCCAGCTCTCATTGGCTACAGTGGGATCTGCTGAACACTCGGTATCATTCAGAATAAGGCTTTTAAATTTGTGTTGGCGTAAAATTTGGTACCCAGGTTATTGGCCTATATACAGATGTCTTAACTCAGTGGGTTTTTAATGGTATATTCATTCTTTTGTTGTTCTTCTAGATACATGGTAGCTGAAAAAAAATCAGCACTATTTTCAAAATGGAAAATGTACAGACCTTTAAATACTTTGGGTAGACCCTGGTGCCTTTTGCTTTTAAAAAATTAATTAAAAACAGCTAAGCTATTTAACTATGTGATGTTGCCTAGATAGGAGTGTCTCACTATAGAATAACAAAAATTATCTGGTGAATACTGGTTGAATTGAAGTTACTGGGAACTCTGCTGTAGACTCCAACAGGGTCATCCATGTTTTAACATACAATTTGTATTTTTAATTTTCCTATTACAAAGAAGCACATAATTTAAAAAAACACTGTAAGCATTTTTTTTAATGGAGAAACTAATTTTATTTTGCTACTCCTTTTGTAGGGAAGCAGGTGCAGAATGGGGTGTATCTCAGTACTCTGAGAACCTGCCTATTACTTCAGGGCAACTTTGATTTAGGAAGTGAATAGGAGCTTTAATTCTAGATAATAATGACAGCGTTATTAATTGATCTTCTATTAAAACTGCACAGGAGTTTAACCTGGGCTGCGCAATCCAAATAGTCTTTAGCTCTTGCACGTTCCTTGAATGTGATAGGAGTTGAGTCTGTGCAGTGAAGAGTGAAGTGACACCTGAGTGTCAAAATCCTTTACATGGACTATATTCTGCCCTTGGTCTTTCTACAGAACTCCCACTGGGAGTTCCAGCCAAGAAATGAGGTCAGGCTAGGCCCCTGTGCTTTGGTTGGCTTTGCCAAATCATAATGTGAAAGAACATTGATGTGCTTTATGTTTTCTCTGACACAAATTACTTTTGTATTGTGTTTTGCAGAATCAGGAGAACATTAAGAGTAAGCAAGGGTTTTGGTCAAAGTGCATCCTAGTAAAGAATCATAGTTACATTAAATAAAAAATAAAAGTCCTGTTTGATCAGTTATTTCCTTCAATGTGTTTCTGTGGTCAGATATCGGTTAGCCCAACAAAAGGGTAATTCTGAGAATATTTACTTTCCGAAGCATTTTAGGTACATTCCACCTTTAAAAGATCATGTACTGTAGTCATTAATCTGCCAGGGTTGTTTGTGTCCAAGGCTACAGTTTTTAGTGTCTTTTTTTTTTTTGGTCTAAAAGTAATTTTAAGAACATAGAATTGTATTTATAAAGTAGTAAACTTAGTTATAATTGGGTGGGAAATTATATTTCAGGGTAAATACTATACAAACACAAAGAACCTTATAAATGTATATTTAATTCTGTTACAGAAACATACTTCTTTGTATAATAAAATCATTTTGATCTGACTAAGCCTTAAATTATATTATCACTATTGTAATTTTCTTCTTACAGCTTAAGTTGAAATTTGTACTTCAAAACAGCATTATCTTTTGGTACCGCAAGGCACACCTAGTAACATCATCCTTTAGCTTAAAAAAGATGTAACGTAAATAATTTTTTAGTATCACTATCATAGTATTTTGTGTGTTGTTGAAGATGCATTTTAATAACTAAATGATAATTTAAGTAAATCTGTTTTTTTCTTCCTTGTATATCTCAGCATCACAACTTCATTTACAAAGATTAGGAAATTGAAAAATTGAAGCAGTAATGAAGTTTACAAATGTCATCATCCAGGAAATGTTTAGCTTCCTCTTTATGGAATGTACAGCCCTGGACAATTAAAATATATGGCTCTGTTGCTTTTTGAGAAGCACATAGCTTTTTTGTAGTCTGCAATAACTCCTGATTCTATTTGTCTAGTACAGTGCTTAAAGTGAAGCATCTCTAACTGTTGTTAAACTTTAAACAGAAATCTGTTTTGTTCTCTAAGGGTATGTCTGCACTTGCACCCTCTTTCGAGAGAATGATGCAAATGAAGACATTCGAAATTGCAAATGAAGCTGGCATTTAAATATCCTGTGCTTCATTTGCATAATTGAGTTATGGCGCTATTTCAAAATACAAAATGTGGTGTAGATGCGGTTATTTCGGGAGAATACCCTTCTTCTGAAAAAACCCTTATTCCTCATAAAATGAGGTTTAACAGTTATTTCGGAAGAAGGGCGTTCTCCCAAAATAACCGCATCTACACTGCGTTTTGTATTTTGAAATAGCGCTATTTCGAAATAGCACCATAAGGTGATTATGCAAATGAAGCACAGGATATTTAAATCCCAGCTTGATTTGCAATATCGAATGTCTTCATTTGCGTCCTTGTCTCAAAAGAGGGTACAAGTGTAGACGTACCCTCAGTATAGATAAGTTGTGCATTATGTCATGGATTGGAGGAACTTTATAGAAGATAAGAGGCTTGCCTTACTATAGGTCTAGTATTTTCCCAGCTTTTAAAAATGTATTTAATTGTATTTAATTTTCCAAGAAAAAACCTTTGTTTTAATAGAATTGCACATTCATAAAGGTTTAAAAATAGTTAGGAAAACTGTAACTGAGACAAATGTAAAGGAAAAATGAATAATAACCTTTGTTTCTTTTGAGTTGAGGAAAATATCATGCATTAGTGGCTACATAAGCTGAAATGAATATCATAAAATTGTTCAAATTCTTATTTTTGTTAATCTCACAGTGCACATCTTGGGACCTTTAAGTTTTTGAGTGAAATGGGGAAATACTTTAATTTTTTTTTAAATCGTGTCTGGTGTATTTAACTCTAATTACAGTTTTTAGAAAGTGTGGTGCAAGCATTAAAGAGAACTGAACTCCAAATGCTGTTTATCTCTCTTGTTGCTGTTAAAACAGAGCCACGGAGTGGTAAACTTTCTGACATCTGTCTGAACAACAGTACAGTAAATGTAATTTTGTTGTGTAACTACCTTCTTGGGCAATTTTATATAAATCTCTCCCTGCTGCAATATTTTGCTTATGTTTGTATTTATTCCATGGAATATTCTAAAGCTTTACCATACTTTATCATGCATATGCCTTAGAACATCTAGTGTCAGTTATCTTTTTTGCTCATCTATGTGCTTGTTTTAGTGTACAAAAGCTACATGCATTTGTGTGTGTGTGTGTGCGCTTGTTTTAGTGTACAAAAGCTACATGCATTTGTGTGTGTGTGTGTGTGCGCTTGTTTTAGTGTACAAAAGCTACATGCATTTGTGTGTGTGTGTGTGTGCGCTTGTTTTAGTGTACAAAAGCTACATGCATTTGTGTGTGTGTGTGTGTGCGCTTGTTTTAGTGTACAAAAGCTACATGCATTTGTGTGTGTGTGTGTGTGCGCTTGTTTTAGTGTACAAAAGCTACATGCATTTGTGTGTGTGTGTGTGTGCGCTTGTTTTAGTGTACAAAAGCTACATGCATTTGTGTGTGTGTGTGTGTGCGCTTGTTTTAGTGTACAAAAGCTACATGCATTTGTGTGTGTGTGTGTGTGCGCTTGTTTTAGTGTACAAAAGCTACATGCATTTGTGTGTGTGTGTGTGTGCGCTTGTTTTAGTGTACAAAAGCTACATGCATTTGTGTGTGTGTGTGTGTGCGCTTGTTTTAGTGTACAAAAGCTACATGCATTTGTGTGTGTGTGTGTGTGCGCTTGTTTTAGTGTACAAAAGCTACATGCATTTGTGTGTGTGTGTGTGTGCGCTTGTTTTAGTGTACAAAAGCTACATGCATTTGTGTGTGTGTGTGTGTGCGCTTGTTTTAGTGTACAAAAGCTACATGCATTTGTGTGTGTGTGTGTGTGCGCTTGTTTTAGTGTACAAAAGCTACATGCATTTGTGTGTGTGTGTGTGTGCGCTTGTTTTAGTGTACAAAAGCTACATGCATTTGTGTGTGTGTGTGTGTGCGCTTGTTTTAGTGTACAAAAGCTACATGCGTGTGTGTGTGTGTGTGTGTGTGTGTGTGTGTGTGTGTGTGTGTGTGTATGCAGAGGCTCTCAAAAATTTATGTTCACTCCTTGGAGGCACATCTGAAAATTTGTCCTTAATTCTTTACAGCAGTGATGTCAGTCATTCCTCTCAAATGGGTTGAAAAGGCATACATTTCCCGAAAATAACCAACATTAAGTCTGGAATAACTCGTTCGAAGTCTTGTTCCATCTGAAAGCAGCTTCTTTGGACTTCTGGATCTCCAAGCCTCTACATTCTTCACATCTATAGGGGATACTCATATTTGTTGTGGTGAAAGATCACTCTCTCCAGTGATTGCTCAGTTTTTCTTAGTGAAATCCTTGTGTCTGCTCTGCCTGATTTGCAGTAGATAACAGTGGTTTTTTGTTAAGTATTTGTTAAGCTGATAGGAACCAACTACCCAAATTCAAATACTGTCTCTTTATGAGGGGAACTGGATGAACTCTGTTGCTAAGACTTTTCCATAGTCAAAAAGAGTGGAGTATGAATGACTTGTTCGCAAGTAAACCCTTATGACAACAAATGCTCAAAGTGGTTTACAATAAAATGCTCTAATAGCTATAACTATAGTAGCACAGACAGTGGAATTGTAACTTAAATATTGCTGTGAGGCTGAAATGAATATAGCCCATACGGGAGTAATAAACCCCTAAACACCACACACTCATAGCAAAACTCATTAACAGCCGCTGCATCAGAATGGATGTGTACTATGGCAAATCAAGGAGCCATTGCTGATTCAAGAGTTTTGGTCTTGTGAAAACAGGATTTTAATCACCCAAGCTATAGCTGGTATTTTTAACCTGTCCAAATGATAGATGCCTGAAATAAAATATTGACTGTCTTCATTGTAGTATGGTCACCAATGGAGTATGTCAGGATTTACTGTTGTGGTATCATGACAGGTCTCCTGCTCTGTCAGTGATGATAATCAGAAGGCTACATGCATGTGTGTTCAATCATGTGTGTTGTTGTTGACTTGTGCAATTAGTCAACCCAGCATATTCCAAGATCCCCCAAAGACCACAGATCAGTTAAGGACTGAAGGCACCAGCCATGTTTATTGTTAAGCGAAGTACAGTAATAGTACTGTGGACTTTACTGTCAGTAGACTCTATCAAGCCACTACACAAATGTTCCCCATAACAGTGGACTCAGCTCAATCAGTAGGAGGTCCCACTGCCCCATTGCCAGGACAAAGACTGCCCCTCCAAGACACCATTTTATGTACAGGTACAAACAAGTTACACATCACTCCTGATGTGTCAGGTTGCCACCCTCTGATGACAGGTTACCATTCTTTTATAATGTGCTTTCAACTTATGACCAGTACCAATTACTGTTTTACAGTTGGTACCTAGTACCAATTACTGTTCAACACCTGGGCCTATTACCCAGTAGTGTTTTACACACTCAGCCCTGTTTGTGCCAAGTTCTGTGAGCAGGGGCCTGCCTCTTGCTCACAGCTTAGCTTTGCTTTATATTAGGCAAGCTTTGTCCATTGTTAGCTAGGCTTCAGGCTTCAAATTAGGCCTGTGCTACATGGGCTTTTGCTTCAGGCCCTCATCTTACTATACTTATCACCTCAGTTCTGCAGGTAGCAAAAGTAATCCTAATATTTGTTTTGCTAGTCTATTGTTAACCTACCAAATGATATTAAACTGTCCTTTCCCTTCTCCTATGTCCTGGCTTTGGTGTTGTTGGCTGAAAGAATTAAATGGCCACCAAGAAAGTCACAGGATGACATGAGTGAGTGGGACAGGCTTATTTTTAACTACCATGTATTGTTACGCTATTTATAACTTCTTATTTCTTCTCCTCTAAGTTTTCCTTTTCTATTAGAGCTGTTTCATTTCTTATGAGATTAGAAGAAATGGAACTGTGGTAATTGAGCCTTTATTCCCTGTTCCTTCCATTGACCCTCAAAAGGAGACACCTTCAGCCTCGCTTTTTTCATGTCAGTGACTAAAAGTACAGAAGGAACAATAATTTTAGCACAGGGAGCTGATGGAACTGTGAAATTGGTCACAACACTGTAGCTGTTCCCTTCCCAGTGAGCATTAGCCTTTTATAAACCATTCTTGTGTCTGATGGTTCAGTAGCTGCTCTCCCTGTTGCTCGTGAGGAGTCAGCCAGAGCAGATGGCTTTTTGCTGCTGCACTGCTGCACTTTGTTGCCAGTGCATGTACTGGGAACATGGAGTAGGGGACTAAGGGCCTCCCTCTTTTCTTTGTTCCTTCTGCATCTCCTAGGATGCTCTTGTGTGTGCTCCAGCCTTCAACTTCAGTGGGTGCTATGTATGCACACTGAAATATCCACATCTCCTTTAGTAGCTACAAAATATTTGGAGGGTTGTCCTGTCTTATGTACACAAAATATTGACAATTGTCAAAGCAAGTAACGCTTTAGTGAGACACTTCCATCAGGAAATTTTTCCTGAGCTGAAATACCTGGTGGTCTGTGGGATTATTGAGTGAGGAGAGAAGGAAAATAAGGGTGAATTTGGCCAACCACTGGTAAGAAAGTTTATCAAATCAATAAAATGAATGTTTGAATATACCAGCGAAAACCCTTATTTTCTATTAAGGAACAAAGTCAAAACTGGCAAGCCCAAAATTTGACATTCTGTTTTCTTGTACATATGTTGAGGAAAAGATTATCTAATTACTTAGTTTTTTCCTTCAAGTACTTCAGTATTTCATGTAAAAAAATAGTCCTACAATAACACACATATGTCTAACTAGTTCATGGCACAAAGGAACTGAAAAGTAAACATATTTCATTTTCAAGGCCACATAGAGCTATAGACAACACCGAGTGAAAAATTATTTGAATTGACTGTGTTCTCAGAAAAATATTTCTGCAAACAGTGCTTATTTTTGCTGAAAATAATGTATGGATCATGCTGCTTTGTGAGTTTTAAAGCAGACTCCAAAGAAGTCCTCTGCTCCCTAAGATAAAGGGTCTATGCAGATGATGCTGTTGTGTAGCTGGTAAACTCTCTGTACATTATCCTCAAAGCAATGGAAAATCTG